TTAACGGATCATGTCCTCCAATCATGTTTTCAAGGGAGTAGTTTTGGGATTTCTTTAACGGATCATTAATTTTATCAGGGCTGTTGTAAATTTTGAACCTGTTTATAAATCCTGGGTATTTTTTTTTATCCTAAAAGAACCGGTTCAAATGGATCCTATTGTAGAATGGATAAAGTTGTTATAATAAATAATATTGTTTTGCCAAAAACTAATCAAGTAGAACCGGTTCTAGTGCAATCTGTTGTAGAATTGTTAAAAGTCTGTTCACAAAATTGTCCATAATATTTTGTTTTCCAAAAAAGGCGTAGTGTGTAAAAGAGGAATTTTTTAACTTCTAATAGTTTGTAAAACTTTATAAAAATCGAAAATAAAATTGTGGTTAATGTTTGCTTTATTTTCATTCGATTGAAAATTATTTGACATTCACTGTGAAATGATAACTCATTGACTCATTGATATGTCAAAAAACCATTATATTTTCTTACAAACTTTATGTTTATGTACAACTTTTTCAAAATGTTATTTTTTAATTTTATTTATATTTATATATATTACATTTTTGCAATTGTAAAGAAACAGATGAGTAGATTTTTTAAGTGAAATGCCAGCAAAATAAATTTAATAATAAGCATATCAAATTTTTAAGCCACTTTAAAAGGCAATAAAACATCAAGATAACGAATAAATGCAAGACTATAGTATGTATGTATGTGTAGATAGAGATAGTTGGATCAAACGTATAAAAATCAAACTGAAAAATTGAAAATGGTTTCTTTACAATAAATGTATGTAATATTTATATATTAAAAATGTCTTAAAAACTTTAGTATATGCATATGATTTTCCTTTAACGAAATCAAAAAGAAAAAAAAATCAGCAATAAAACCCACAGATACATGACAACAAACAGAAAAAAAATCCCATAAATACAAAATATAGTTATAAAAAAATAAACAAACAAATATATAAGATAAAAGAATATACATAATAACGTTTATATACATACATATATCTGAAAAAAGCAATAATAGTATTTCAAATTTAAATAAAAGAAAAATAACATTAAATGCAAAAACAAAAAGAAAAAAACCCAACAAATTTACATTAAATATTTTGAATAAATAAAACATAAACCACAAAAATAATATAAAATGAAGAAAATAAAATAAAATGAAAGAATTAGCCTGTATTTAGCATTATTTATACATAATAAAATATTTAATAAATTTTCAACAAATATGAGAAAAAAAACATAAATTGAAAATATTAAACCCATAAAAAAGAAAATAAAAAATTAGCAAAAGAAAAAATTGTATTAACAAATTAAAGAAGAAAAAAAAACAACAACAAGAATTATATCAATGTGCAATTTAAATTGTTTACCTTTGAAAAACAACAACAACAGCAGTTTATCACTTATATTTATAAAAAAAAAAGTTAAAAAAAATATTTATACCTAAAGCAGAAAAAAAAAGAAAAACAAAATATTCATATATTTAATCTTTCTATGCAAATAAACCAATAAAATAAACAAAATGTGAAAATTGAAATAAAATAGTATTTAAAAAATATATTAAATAAAACAAATACCACAGCACACACACACAAACTACATAAATATATACACATATAAACTAAGTTACTCCGCCCCCTTAACTATACACGCCCCCAATACTAAGTACACAAATGTATACACAAACTAACATACATAATCACACTCTTAAATGAAATTCAAAATCAAAACAAAAAAAATAAAAAACAAAATCAGATTGTAATTTAAAAATAACAACTGCCTGATTTGTTAAAAGGATTATGAAATTTTTTTAAAAATGGCTTAAAAACTGTTTTTGGAACTTGAAAAATTTTTTAAAAAAAATTTCTTATGTGTTTTTGCCTCAGGTTGCTGGGTATATTTCATTAAGATTTTCTACATAAACTTTTAACTTTGTATACAAAATGGCCACTTTTAATGGAAAAAAAATAAAATTTTACACTCAGTTAATTAAAATTTTAGTTTTTCTAAAGTAATTTAACAAAGTAATATTTTTGTAAAATGAACTGCAAAATAAATATTTCATAGATCGATTATATAAAATTTGAATAGAATTTATAACTTAATATAAATATGTTAAAATAAAATGTTTTGATTATTTTTCATTCACTTGGAAATGTTATGCTAAATATGTAGTAACTATACTATTTCTTTAATAAGTATTTTATTTTTTTTTTTTTGCTAAAATTTATAAATCCATATTCAAAAAGCCTGTTTTCTATACGAAATTCTTATTATAAGAACGGAATCACTTCTAATTGTTAAAAATCGTAGGCAATTTAGCGATAACTGTCTGTCCGTATGTATGTTGAAAACACATTTCTGACGGCTCCAGATATCATTGGGATAGAAATTTTCGATAAGTTTTCTACTTAAAATCGCTGCATAGCCTATAGTTTAGTCTATGGGAAAATATAAATTTCCGAAAATGAAATAGTACTAACAAATAACAAAAATAGTACTTTTTAGGTTTTTAAGTACGGAAATAATTTTTATCTATCCTAGACTACATTCTAGACTATAGACTAAACTATATACTAGACAATAGACTAGATTATAGACTAGACTATAAACTTGACTATAAACTAGACTAGACTAGACTATAGACTAGACTATAGACTAGACTATAGACTAGACTATAGACTAGACTATAGACTAGACTATAGACTAGACTATAGACTAGACTATAGACTAGACTATAGACTAGACTATAGACTAGACTATAGACTAGACTATAGACTAGACTAAAGACTAGACTATAGACTAGACTACAGACTATACTATAGACTAGACTATAGACTAGACTATAGACTAGACTATAGACTAAACTACAGACTAGACTATAGACTAGACTATAGACTAGACTATAGACTAGACTATAGACCAGACTATGGACTAGACTATAGACTAGACTATAGACTAGACTATAGACTAGACTATAGACTAGACTATAGACTAGATTATAGACTAGACTATAGACTAGACTATAGACTAGACTATAGACTAGACTATAGACTGGACTATAGACTGGACTATAGACTGGACTATAGACTAGACTATAGACAAGACTATAGACTAGACTGTAGACTAGACTATAGACTAGACTATAGACTAGACTATAGACTAGACTATAGACTAGACTATAGACTAGACTATAGACTAGACTATATACTAGACTATAGACTAGACTATAGACTAGACTATAGACTAGACTATAGACTAGACTATAGACTAGACTATAGACTAGACTATAGACTAGACTATAGACTAGACTATAGACTAAACTATAGACTAGACAATAGACTAGACTATATACTAGACTATATACTAGACTATATACTAGACTATAGACTAGACTATAGACTAGACTATACACTAAACTATAGACTAGACTATAGACTAGGCTAGACTATACTATAGACTATACTGATGACTAGACATACTATTGGCTAGACTATATACTAAACTGTAGACTGGACTATAGGCGAAACTATTGACTAGACTACATATATACTTAACTGTAGACTAGACTATAGACTAGACTATAGACTAGACTATAGCGTAGACTATAGATTATACTATTGACTAGACTACATGCTAGACTATAGCCTAGACTATAGACTATACTATAGACTAGACTATACATTAGATTATATACCAGACTATAGACTAGACTAGTCTATAGACTATACTAAACTACAAACTGGTCTAATGGCTAATTATCAAAAGTTTAGAAGTTAGAAAAGTAGGGAAAAGGTCGTGGGGGTACCATAGTATTTCTCTATATCAAAAAATATTGAAAAAATTACTAAAGTACTGAATTATCCATGCCTGTATCAGATGCTATGTTCATATATATAGATATGTATATGTTACAGATATACCAGTAAATACATATGTTCAAAAATATGCGTTTTGGAGTTAATTACAGTTTCAAAAAATTTGAACCAAAATAATAATTTACAGAAGGAGTCCCAAAACCGATTTTCCTATAAGTGGATGGAGCAAAAGTTAAGTGGATGAACGTTTTCTAAGAATCTTTATTTGTAATGCTAATATTCATTTGGACGAAAAAATCCCATCAATATATTTCTTTAGGTAATTAATTAGTTTATAATTAAAATACATTTTTGGCTACTAAAATTATTGTTATTTCTTAATAAATTTCTTTAAAATTACAACAAAATTAGTTTATTGTTATGCTCTCAAGTTTATCTTTTAATTTTTCTGAGTGTAAAATATTTTTATATGGAAAAAAGAAAAAAAAAACAAAATTTTTTTATAAAAAACAAAATACTCATTAATTGTTAAAACATTTAAAATTAATTAAATATAAACATACATATAAAAAATAAAAACAATTATAAACAAAAATGTGTTAAAAATAAACTATTAATTAATTATTATTAAAAAACAACAACAAATAAATCTTATATATTTTCTCTTTCCTTAGTAAAAAAAAATAACTTAATTAAAATTAAAAATAATTATAAAAAACATTAGTTATTTATTGAATTAACAAGTTAAGTGTTAGTATTACAAAAACATTAAATAAATTTAACAATATAAAAAAATGCGTAAAAATTTAAAAATACCAAAAAAAAATAAATAAACAACAATTTATATTAATTACATTAGTATTTCCTTTTTTTATTTGGATTGATAAAAAAACTATATAAAAATTAATTGGTCTAAAAAATTAACAAAAAATTAAAACCCAGAAAAAAATAATTTAAAAATATTCAATTGATAAAAAAAATAAAAATTATTAAATAAAAACAAACAAACAACAAAGGTAGTTATTATTTTAAAATGGTTTCTTAAAATATTAAATAACAACTCACAGTAAGAATTATCAAGAAGAAACACTTTCATATTCAAACTCCCCTTAAACAGAACGACTTCTTTAAAATAAATTTATATAGTTTTTTAAAATGATTTTAATATTTATTGTTTTCTTTTTTAACCCAAATAGGAAGGTACATTATCAGTCTGGAATCGCGATGCCTCTGATTACTTCAGTACGACACGTATCCGAGATACACTACGTAGGATATTAAATATACCTGTTACCGTGCCAATGGAGTATAAGATACACTGTGATAGCCTTAAATATGTAGCAATGTAAGTTCTAAATTTATTGTTTTTTTTTTTAAATCTATATTAACCCTTCACCTTCGTGACAAAGGTATATATAAGTTTGTCATTCCGTTTGTAATTTCTATAATATAATTTTCCGACGCTATGAAGTATATATCTGAGTCCTTAAAGATAGCAAAGTCGATTTAGCTATGTTCGCCTGTCTTTCTGTCTGTATGTATCTTGACGACCCCAGATATTAGCAAGATCCGAACCTTCAATAATTGTGTCAGACATGCTTTGGAAAAGATCGCTATTAGCAAAATCGACCCATAAATAAGGGCGTGTTGAGTAACAACCGAGACAACCTATTAAAATTTCATAAAATGTTAGAACTTTTGTGCATGATTATATAAGAAGGGATAATTATAACAACATACAAGATGTCGAAGTGCTTTACGTAAACACCTGCCGTGTTGGCTTTAGTTCACGGTGATACCTTTTCAACCACTGGGTGAGATAACTAGACTACTCACCACCGCTCCTTTGTGTATCATACACGCCGGACCGGTACAAAAAGCACTTTCTCGAGCTATCTAATCTCTGACCATTGATGCCCCATTGCTAAACTTCCGTGATGCAAAAACATCACTTCCGTTTACAACCACACACATAGGTTGACGACTCTATTGAGTCGGCATCTAGATAAGTATTCGGTAGACCGAAACACGAATCCATCAAATAAGTCGAGGATTTTGTTCTTACAGAGAACACACTGTGGCAAATCTGATATGAACAGAATAAATCCTAAACATACCTGTACAAGGAAGGAAAATTCTATGGTATCACTTATATAAGATACCTTTCATCCATCAACATTTAACACATCACACTTTTCATCCGACACACTCACTCTAGGCATACGGTCGGGCAAGTTACATTCATCCTTTAATACAAACACATTTCCAACGGTCAGTCCCACAGTTGAGTCGGCATCTAGAGACGTATTCGGTAGACCGAAATACGAATTCATCAAATAAGTCGAAGATTTTTTACTCACAGAGAGCAAACTGTGGTAAATTCACTCTCGGTATAAGGGCGGGCAAGTTCAATATACCCCCACATACATCCTATATCATATACAATTAAAACCAACTCATTACCTACGCATATTCCCAGTCACTGTTCTGTTGACTTCGGCTGCAGCACCGAATTTATCCCGAATTATAGACTTTACTCTTTTAACCAACATTCTCTTCCCGCAAATTTGGGTTTAAGCCACAGCCACCTCGTGCACCACAAAGGGGCCTCTCCAATAACCGAGACAGACTTTTAACCAACAATCTCTTCCCCGCGAATTTGGCTTTAAACAACAGCCACCACGTACAACACGAAGGGGCCTCTCCAATAACTGAGAAAAGACAAAGTCTGAAACTCAGGTGGTACCAGATTATATGGTTCTCTAATTCGAATCCATGTCAAATCATTCCAAGGAAAGGTGAATGATACATTTGATCATCACCAGTATATAATCTCAGCGCCTTTTCCCTGGGATTGCAATAACACCAAGGTGGGGTCTTTCATAAAGGTTACGTGCCCCCGGGGGAATAAAAACGTACAGCTTCATATAATAAATTTGGGCTTTACGGTACTGTTTCATTTTCCAACTGGTATTTTTTTACAAAATACTTATTGGCCGTTTTTTTTAACACAATATGGTGAAGGGTATATAAAATTCGACTTAGCCGTATATAGAACTTGTTTGAATTTAACAATGATTCTAACATCGATCGATTAAAAATTTCTTATAATTTTTTTTTTTTTTAAATCTGCTAAATTTTGAAATAATTATTAAAAAAACATTTATTATTATTACTTTAAAATTATTAACAATTTATATTCTTCTTATTTTCTTTACAGTAATAAAGGCCCTGCAACAAAAAGCTGAAATTCAGTGAATTTGTGTTAAAACAAAATATAAAACAAAAAAACTACAAAACAATATCAACCGATATATAAAAAAAGATATTTATCCCAAAAATAAATAAACAAAAACAATTGTAAAAAAAAAACACACAAAACACAAAAAGTTACAATAACAAACAATAAAAACAAACAAAAAGAAGTACACCAACAATTCTTTAAATAAACAGAAACAAAACTTAATTACAAAAAAAAAAAAATAAAATGGAGTTTTATTAATTAATTTTGCATAGATTTTCATTGAAAAAATGGAGGCATTAAAAGGAAACAATATCTTAAACTATCGTATAATTGAACAGAATCTATAAAAAACTCAAACATAAAAGCTTAGTCAGTTAATATATTCAATCTAAATAACATTTTTCCTCCCTTTAACTCTTTCAAAAGAAAACACCATAAATATTTATTATTTTGGTTAAAGAAATCCCGCTTTACACACATTAGATTTTATTTATAGTCGAACAAAATAATGTACAATTTATGTTTGTAGTTATATATTTTCTTCAAGGATCATTTGTTATGTTGTCTCGTATATGATTAATTTATATAATTTAAATTACAGTTTTTCTTGATTTAAAAAAAAAATTAGCTTTGATTTAATATTAATGCACAAAATATGACAAATAAACTTTAGGGTCTCTTATAAACTACAACATTTTAATTTTGTTGTGAACTTAATTAATATTTATATTTAGAATACAATTAAACTTTTTTAACAAAGAAAAAACGTATATAAACAAAAAATAAAGTAAATTATTTATCCTGGAATAACGTTAAATCGAAGAGATAAACATTTGAAACCAAGCAGTCGCCCTCCTAATAAAGAGAAAAAAAGTTTTCTTTAATAAAACATTTCTTTAGGGAAAATAAAGCCTACTTACGCCAGGAGTTATGCCAACTAAAGCATCAGCATGACCATAAAATTCTTCTTTTAGAGAAATAACAATGGTTTGTAAATTTGTGGTATGATCACGTATATAGGAAGCCACTTTACCAATGTTAGTGTTGTCAAGAGCAGCATCGATTTCATCAAGCACAAAAAGGGAGCAGGTTGAAAACTGAAAAAAAAGAAAGAAGCAAAGAATGTTGTAAATTTTAGGCAAAAAAGTAAATTTAATATAAGAGCGCCCCACCCCACCTTACCTGTGTATAGAAAATAACAAGGCCAAGGCAGCAATTGTCTTCTCACCACCACTTAAATTACTCATCGGCTGAAAACGTTTACCCGGCGCCACACAATTATAATTAATACCATCCAAGTAGGGTTCTTCAGGATTATCTGGACCCAAATAGGCTTGTGCCGCCTCATTACGTGCTAATTTCTTATAGATCGCATCAATAGCATCCGATATGTGATTACTGCACTGTATAAATTTCTCAGCACGTTCATTCTTAACACGTTCAAAAGCGGCTTTGGCTTTTTTTGCTTTACGACGAGCCAATTCGAATTCTTCATTGGTCGATTGTACTTTTTCCGTAACACGATCTAATTTTTGCATTGCCTTTAGATTGGGCGTTTGAATACGCTCCAAAACGTCCAGTTTGGCTTGTAGATCTTTTTGGAGTTGATCGTTCATTTTCTTAAAGGCAGAATCGTCTTTGAGTTTGCATAGTTCACGCGGTAGACTGGAGTAGTTTACTTCGATTCTGGAACCAATGAGATAATAAGTTCTAAGTTCTTTTAAAATAATATGGATAAAACTTAAAAAATCGTCGTCTTTTTACTAGAATATGGGCTAGTCTAATGGCTTTTCTGTGGTCTATTGAAATAAAGAGTCTAGAGACTAGTGTATGAATTAGTCTTTGGACTATTCTGTAGACTAGTCTATTATGTAGTCCATAGACTAGCCTTTCCTCTAGTCTATAGACTAGTCTTTCCTCTAGTCTATAGACTAGTCTTTACTCTAGTCTATAGACTGGTTTTTTCTCTAGTCTATAGACTAGCCTTTTCTCTAGTCTATAGACTAGCCTTTCCTCTAGTCTATAGACTAGCCTTTTCTCTAGTCTATAGACTAGCCTTTCCTCTAGTCTATAAACTAGCCTTTCCTCTAGTCTATAGACTAGCCTTTCCTCTAGTCTATAGACTAGCCTTTCCTCTAGTCTATAGACTAGCCTTTCCTCTAGTCTATAGACTAGCCTTTTCCTCTAGTCTATAGACTAGCCTTTCCTCTAGTCTATAGACTAGCCTTTCCTCTAGTCTATAGACTAGCCCTTTTCCTTCTAGGTCTATAGACTAGCCTTTCCTCTAGTCTATAGACTAGCCTTTCCTCTAGTCTATAGACTAGCCTTTCCTCTAGTCTATAGACTAGCCTTTCCTCTAGTCTATAGACTAGTCTTTCCTCCTGTCTATAGACTCTTCTAGTCTATAGACTAGTCTTTCCTCTTGTCTATAGGCTAGTCTTTCCTCCTGTCTATAGACTAGTTTTTCCTCTAGTCTATAGATTAGTCTTTCCTCAAGTCTATACAATAGTCTTTTCTCTAGTCTGTAGACCATTATTTTTATAGTCTATAGTCTAATCTATAGACTAGTCTATTATATAGTCTAGTATATATACTAATCTATAGTCCAGTCTATAGGCTACTGTCTGGAATAGTATTATAGTATTATCTCTATAGACTAGTCTTTTCTGTAATATATAGTCTAGCATTTTCTGTAGTCTATAGACTAATTTATCCTCTAGTCTAATTCCATTTCTCTCTATCTCGCTGACTTAAAATTCTCTCTCCTCTGCTCATACTTAAGATGGCAAACAAACTTACAGATTTTCTTTTTCTAAAATTAAGGAAGTTGATGTAGCACTTGTCGTTTCCGAATCACCTTGACTCACACAATCATCCAAAGAACCTTTCAACAGAGGTATGGCAATGCAGTCCATCTATTTATGAAATAAAATACAAACTTAAATCCCGCTTTAAGGAAAAATAAAAACATAAACTTACTTTTGCTTGTAACAAAATATTATGACGTTCATTTTTCTTAGTCTCAATTTTGGCCTCAATCGCCGACAGTTGTGAACTTAGATTGTGTATTTCTTTAGCCACATTTGCCACCTCTTTGCGTGCTTTCGATATGTCTTCTTCCATATCGTCGACAGCTTGTTTCTTGGCTTGTTTTTCTTGTTTAAACTTTTCCATTTTTTCCTTATCCAAATCGATTTCTTTAAGATAACGTTTTTCGGCAGCTCTTAAACCCTCCAAAGCGTCTTCTTCATCCTGTACACTACGTTCCCAACGTTCGAGATTTTCTGTAGAAAGGTAACAAATTTTTAGATTTTTTATCCTTAAAAAAGTAGTTCAATATTACTTTTGGTATCTTTTTGTTTCTCAAAATCCAATTGTGTATTGATGGCATCTATTTGCTGTTCAAATTCTGCTCTTTTGCGTGCTCTTTCCTGCTGCATAACCAATTCTCTTTCTTCATACTGACGTATATTTTTGCAATTCAAACGACGACAAAAGTTAGCAAAAACTTTATCTTCAACATTGTTCATATTTTCTTTGATTTCTTGTATATATTCATCACGTTTCTCCATACGAGTCTCAATTTTAGTGATTTTAGGCTAAAAAAAGGCAGAAAATAAAAACAGTTTTATTATTTTTACATTAATTTAGATTTTAAAATTTACCCCAAATTCATCTAATTGTGTTTGAACTTGCTTTAATTGATTATCGAATTGTTGTATGGATTTTTTTGATGATTCTAAATCCACCATACTGTATTTTAAACGATTTTCCAAGCCCTGTAATGAAGTAGTATGAAAAGTTAATGTCAACTAAGTAATTAGCACTATAAACACTGACTTTAATCTGTGATTCCACAGTGGCCAATTCGCTTTGTTTTCTTGATTTCTTCACCAACTCTTTGAGCTCTTCAGTTAAACGATCTTTTTGAGATTTCAACTGGGCCATGTGTTTTTCATCCCATCTTTTGGCTTTACGCGCCAAATCATGACTACCGCCAGATATAAGACCAGATTTCTGATAGAATGTACCGTCTAAGGCTAAGGCATCATAACGTGAACGATCTAATTCATAGGCCACTTTCATGGCATCCTCAGGAGTTTCACAAACCAAGGCATTACCGGTAGCGAATAGAACAGCACGTTCTATTTCTCGTGGCTCGAATTTTAGTACATCAAAAACCAGCTTGACATTACGTGGTTCACTGATATTTCTGTATAAATTATTAATTAATTAATTAGTAGCCATTTGTAAATAATTTTCCAAGTTAAAAAAAATTACCTTAAACGTTCCTTTAAAGGTTTCACTTGTAGATAATCCAAAGGTAGAAATGTTTCCACCTCCAACATTTGTTCTTTTAGTATCTTTATGTTATGAAGAAATACAAAAAAATATTAGTTTACGTTTATTTAAAGAAATTATTTTCGTAAAGTACTTGAATACATTGCCGGGCAGTTTTCTCTGTATCCACAATAATGGCTTCCATGAATTTACCCAAAACTTTGGTAACGGCCACATTGTAACGTTTATGTGTGGGCTGACACATGTTAATCATGCGGTCGTACTAAAAAAATACAATTTAAGAAAAATTACTTTTTGCGCTTAAAAGCATTTCTGCACTGTACAACTTACCACTCCCGGTACCTGTTTCTTAAACAATTCCACCACCTCTTGTTTCTTTTTTCGACGAGCATCTTCATGTTTATCACTGCGCGCATCACCCAATTGATCACGTACATTCTCTAATTCCCGTTGGATTTCGGAAATTTTCTCCTTTGAACAACCCACATCACGTTTAAGTTCATCTTTAATACGATTTTGTTCTTCCAAAGCCGCCTGGGATGATTTAATGTGATCCATTAATTTGTCACGCCTCTTAACAGCTTCCTCGCGTTGCAGTGTCAATTTTTTGAGTGCTTCTTCTACCGAAGCTCTGCGATTGGTTTCACCGTCCAATAAATCTTGATCAGATTTTTGTTCACGATTCACTGAATCCAATTGAGAACGATATTGTGTGGCAGTAGCTTCAGCTTCCTGTTTGAGACGATCGTATTCTTGCACCAGACCCTCTTCCATGTGTACACTTTTGCCGCGTTTTTGTGATTCATTTTCAATTTCATCTTCGAAACGTTTTTTCATTTGTTCAACA